GCCTATGGTTGGTAGCAGATACAGAATAAACTGATCTTGTAATAATACATCATGCGTTATAAGCAAACGAAAATTTAGCAATAATATAACATTTTTATGTAGAATGGAGTGTATGAACGTCTTTTTAGATATTCAGTCTAGAGAGAGCTAAGTCTACCCAGACCTAATGGCTCCGCCGCCTATGACTGACACTGACTCTATAACGATGTATCATCTGCCAGAAAAACTGGAAAACTAGAAATAATAGAAAACCTTCACATTTAATAGATCCTACAAAAGCCTTGCTCTGTCCAAGTTTGAGCCTACTGAAGCTTACCCTCAGCCAATCTAGGGTGAACTTGAGCCTACCCAGGCCTAATGGCTCCACTGCCTATGGAAGAGTACTGTTCTTTAATTACTTAAAATTCAAAAGTTATTTTGAATAGAAGTTTAGAACAAAAGTTAAATTATCTTATATTGAAAATAAAAAATTCGACGTAAATATAGACGTCAACGAAACCAATCAGTATGTCACTGGGCACGAGTTTATAATAATAAGATGTGGACTGACCTTGTAATAACGTGTCATCTGACAGAAGAACATGAAAATTATCTAATATTAGAAAAATTTTACATTAAATCGAGCCTAGTCAAGCCTTTATCTGTACTGGTTCGAGCCTACCCAAGCCTTTATCTAAGCCTACCCAAGCCTACCCTCCTCCAATCTAGGGTAGGCTCGTGCCTACCCAGGCCTCGTGGCTCCGCCGCCTATACACAAGTTTCACTCTTCTATTCTTTAAATGGGACCATTCTTCAGCAAAACTTGATAAATCAGCATTTTCTAATAAATCTCTTTCTGCTGAAGAAATTATCAACCATTCCATTTTGTCAGGCATTAATGTAGACCGTAACTTGTTTTTAATCAATTTTAATTTCGAAAAACAACGTTCATTTGTCACAACAGTTATTGGTAATGCAAGAAGAAATTGATAAATACGTGTAGCATTTGGATATCCATGTCGAATTATTTTAATTTTATTGATAAGTTCGGTCATTTCAGTATAACTATCAATATCATTTTTCAACAGCTGTAATTCTGAGTATAAGAGTTCAGGACTCGAAATACTGGGTACAATTTCACAAATTTTCTTAGCATTTTCAAGAGTTAATTGATTTACACGACCAGGAAAGATATTACAGAAATGTTGAAGTTTTTCTTCAATTAGCTTGTAGTATTCAGATAATGAAACAATTAAATAATCCAAA